ATTATAAATTTAGGTTAAATATTTAGTATATATACTTATTTATGTATGCTTTTGACTAGGCTAACGAGCAACGATATGTATATATGTATGTAGGTGTCTTTTCGAAGTTTTATTGGATCTTCAGCTTTACTCGTAGACTATGAGAGCTAAAAACATGAAATTTGAAATTCTCGTTAGCTACATACAGATTAGGCATAAATAATTTTTATTTTTTATTTATTAGTAAGCAAGAATAGGGATTTTCAAAAGCTATAATAAGACTAAGTTAATATATATAATCTAAAGTTTATTATTATGAATATGTGGAAATCTGTGGACTGTTAAGGGATATGGGCTATGTTAGTGATAACACTATTTCTTATATTCTTACAAAGGCAATATATAGTACAAATATTATTTAATACGAATATTTATATGTATATTCAAATAAACAATTTTGTTTTCTTCTCACTTTTACAGTTTCAAAGAATGTTGATGTTGCAATACAGCAAGCATGGTGAGTGCATCCTCAAAGAAATTGGCGCGGCTTTTAGGGGGGAGCATCCAGCCGACCTGACGATCGTCTGCGAGAACAAGGTGAAGTTACACGCACACAAATTAGTGTTAGCTGCTGCCAGTCCGCTCATAAGGTGAGTATCGTTAGATAATCGAAGAGCGCCTACATTTCAATTTTAATTTCAATTTGCAGAAATTTACTGGAGGATACTCACCTGAGCGATTGCACAACAACAGTTTATTTTCCTGATGTCAACGCGACATATTTCAAGTTTCTGTTGGACTTTCTGTACTCGGGACAGACGTGCATAACGTCGCGAGATGTGAACTATCTGCACGACTTGCTGCTGCTGCTGCAAATCAAGTCGGACAGCTGGAAGACAACAGACTCTGCCTATCTTAGCAATAAGTGCGCCGGAAGCATACGAGAGAGGCCACGGAAACAGCAGCCGCAGCAGCAACAGCAGCAACAACAACAACAGCAGCAGCAGCCGCACCCACAGCAGTATCCGTCCCCGCACACAGATCAATCGTTTAAATATGAAGTTGAGAGCGTGGACGAGACTAGAAATACCGGCGATTTTAACGCATTCCCACCCGAGAACTGTGAGGCCGGCAATGAGTGTTCGCATAGCAAGGAGGAGGATGAGGACGATGAGTGCACCAACAAGGACAATAAGAGCGATAAAGACACTGATGAAATTGTAAACCTTTCCGACATTCCAGCGGGCGGACTTGCCAACAATAGTAGCAGCAGCAGCAGCACCAACAATAACGCTTCCAACACCACCACCGCCACCACTCATAACAACAACAATAACAATATTAGTAACTCATCGATAACTCCTGTCAACTTGTCGCTCGATCTGCGGACGAAAGGGGACAACAACTCGCCACGCATTGATACCAAGAATTATCTGCTAAAGCAAAGCAACATTGATTCGATCAGCGCACACGAGAGCACGAAGCGAAAAGGACTATTCTTCGACACTCACAAGGATGTGATGAAGCCGCTGTCCGATGGCGCCGACATCAATAGTTCGCCCGAGAATTATGTGGTGACGCCGCATCGGAAGCGTCGGCCGGGCTTCCATAATACGCAGAGCGACAATCAGCCTTTCACCACGTATCAGCACAATCTATTGGAGGAACTGCGTCTGGTTAAGTCAACAACATCGCCGATAGCGGGTCTGGCGGCATCCGAGAAGAATATATTGTCGCAACTTGAGGATGGCACACTTAATCCAGACGCAATGACGCCCGAACGGAAACTGTTCGAATCCCAACGAAATCGAGTTCAAAGTCCCGAGCTGCAGATGCATCTGGGTCAGCAGTTCGTCTACCAATGGCAGTCCAATCAGAATGCAGCGCTCTCCGCAATGCCCAATCTGCAGTCGCGATTGTCCAGCTTATCGCACATCAACTTAAGCCTGGATCCGGAGAGTCGCAACAGCAGCGCGTCCGTGTCGAGCATCGCCGCCAACAACACGCACACGACGTCGTCGGTACGCGAATATCGCTGCGAATACTGTGGCAAGCAGTTCGGCATGTCCTGGAACCTGAAGACACATCTCCGCGTCCACACCGGCGAGAAGCCGTTCGCCTGCCGCCTCTGTGTGGCCATGTTCAAGCAGAAGGCCCACCTGCTGAAGCACCTGTGCTCCGTGCATCGAAACGTCATCACCACGACCAACGGAACGGATACGGAGAATCGATATAGCTGCTGTTTCTGCTCGATGTGCTTCGAGTCGGTGCAGGAGCTGGTGCGCCATCTGTCGGGGCATCACAACAACCTTCTGCTCACCAAGAATCTTCGGGAATAAATCTGTAGGAAAGATCTGTTCGATGATGAGCCCATCGACCCATCGAGCACGTAATTGCAAAGAGACCTGAATTTTTATATATATATAGAAACTTACGGTAAACAGTACAACAAGAGCAAAGCAGAGCAATCGCATTGCATTGCATTGCATTGCTATTGTATAAAATAATATGTTAAATGTACATTTAAAGCATAATTTTATTATTTACACATTCAATTTACACTCTACTCAATCATTTCATTGCGGCAATCCACGGCACGACCCACGTCTAGACGAGCGGTGCGAGCAGCCACCCATATATTGGCCTACTATTGTATAGATCTGATCAGATATGATATGTAATGAGTTTTGTATCTGGTATCTAAGCGGGGTCCCTCTTTAAGCCGGCTGGTCCATTTAAGTGGAACATTCGTAGGTTTTAAGCATATTTTTTATATACACTATATATATATATTCAAAAGGTATTGTAATTTGTATTGTATTTTCTACTTGATTCACATTTTACAATTTTACACTTTTAAATTTTACCTTTTACCTTTGATAAACAAAAAAAAAAAAAAAAAAACAGCAAAAAAAAAAAAAAAGCAAACAAAAAAACAACTACATCATATTTTTATACACTCTCTTCTGCATACATTACATATGTAGTTTTGAAACTTTTTGGAATTCGTTAATAAGCATGTGTAAGTTGTACAGAACAAATTTACAAGATTGTAATAAAAAAACAAAAGCATTTCTTTTTTAACTTCTCTTTCACTTTCTTTGTACAATGTGTAATATTTTGTTTTAGAATTTTTAATATAACTGCAAAATGTTAACAGCTAAAAATAATTGAAATCACATTTGTGTATTCTGATTGGATGTTGGTTTGGTTATTGCTAATTAGAATATAACTAAATGAGCTTTCAAACTGAATGCTAAGTGGAGTTGTTAATGGGAATGGCAATTATAACTTCATTTGGAATAAACATAAAAATGAAATGTTATATTTCAAGTGATGCTATGACTGGGATGACTTGACTTGGAATATTAGTCGAAATGCATAATCCAATTGAAATGAGCTTAAACGATTGTCAGTTTAATTACATGCGTAAGTATATCCCAATTAGAATTGTTGAGTTGACTAGATTATTTATGGAAAATACCAATTGGAACATAAGCTGATTTGACTAAATGCAAATCACATAATCCAATAAGAATTATTCCGTCTGATGTCTAATAGGCCATTAGATCACTTTTATAAGTCTAATGAAATGATTAAAATGGATAATAATTAGCTAATCATGTCATTGCTTATTAGAATATATATTAATTGGACGTAAGTATGTATGTGTGTATGTGTTATGACAGCATATTGGCACTTCATTTCTTATTAGTGTCATTGGAGTCTGTTAGTCATATAAGAATTGCATACACACATGAGCAACTTAGCATCTCTCACCTGCTCAGCTCACGAGCTGAATTCGACTCTGCTCGGGAGGGACCGATCGGTCGCTGCCCTATATAAAGAGAAGCCTGCTGCATCAATTCTTCAGTCGCATTTCTGACGTTGTGGTGGTCGGTCGTTACGTGCAGTGCTTCTTCCTCTTCTTCTTCTGCTTTTTGGTAAGTATTTAATTAGTATAAAATAATGTTAAGTATATTAAGTAAAAATGTAAATGTTGTATTTATAAATTTAGTTAGTTGTGTTAAGAAAATTTATAACAATAGTTGTGATTATAATTAAATGTTTGAGATCATTAACTAAATAAATAAGATAACTCTCATTGGGAGTAAATTTTATGGAATTGCTTTAAGAAAATTTATAATAATAATTCATTGATATATGTAACTCTCATTGGGAGTAAATCTAGTTAAATTTCTCTAATAATGTATGTATTTATATAGACTATCGAAGCTTTTCAAAAGATTAAGAGCATATTTTAGTCAGGCAATCAATTTTTATTCACACTCACATTTCTACTCTTAGTTCTAATCTTAATTCGACTCTTACCTTTTTATTTAAATATAATGTAATGGCATTGTTTTTTTTAAATAAATTAAAATTTAGTAAAATATATTCAATTCATGTGGCTAGTTAACATGGTTGCATCTTGATTTGTTTTATATAAAAAAGTTAGAATGTGAAATAAGGTTATGTTAATTAACATTAACATAAACATAAACATAAACATAAACATAAACATAAACATTTTTATGGTATTAACATTATTCTTATATGTATAAAATCGAAAGTAAAAACATTTTAATAGTTCGTATCAGAAATTGAATTTTATTATTGCTTTGAAGAATAAAAAGTTGATAGAAATATAAAATATTCTTTAAATTGTAAAATATAATTAAAATAAATTGAATATAAATTATATATTAATAAAAATTAGCTTGAATTATAATGAAATTTCTAGCGATTCTCTGAGTAAAAACATTTATTAGTAACAATTCAATACAATTACTCTAAATTTTCTTCATTTATAATCAAAGAGACATCATGTTAGATATGAGTCCAATTGGATTTTCAAAGAGCGGTGATTGGCGCGCCAATCAGAGCTGCGCTGCACCGCGCCTGTCATCGAGTCGATTGCCAGCGACAGAGGCGCAAAAGGTTATAGATAATGTTTTGACTGTTAAACTGGAAAAGTATAACAAAACAAGGAACAAAGCGTCAGACGGTAAACTGCGTGGTTTTTTGTTAGCTGTGGACGGAATTCGCTTGCTCCCAGTCAACTTAAACAGTTATATTTAGTTAAAATTTACAACCGTGAAGTTCGGCTAAGAAAAAATAGCTAAGCTAAAATGCTGATGTGCCATGTGAATTGCATTGAGTTAACTATGAAAACAAAATAAAAGCGTTGAAAATTGCAAGACTTGAGTGAAGCAACAAAACGCAATAAAAAAGAGAGAAAAAAAAAATGAAAAACAATTATTCAATCAAATTAACTTTTGCATTAAAACATACATTTCCCATTGAAATATATATGTATATATACATACATAAATCTATGTGAATTCATATGCAATAGGCAAAGGCTGCTGCATTAGCAACAAATTCCATGTATATATACATGGAGTTGCTACGCACATGTATATATACATATGTATATGTATGCATATGATTGACATAAATTTCGCTTTATATACATGTATATAGATGTCTCTGCGACTTGTGATTGCTTAAGCGAAAGGATCAAAGGGAAAGACTATTAAAACGTATCCGAAAAACAGAAGAAGAAGAAGTAGCAGAGTAAACGAGTAGAGCAGAGCAGAGCAGCAAGAGGGAGGAATATGGCACTGCCAAAAAAGATCAAATGTTTTAAGTATTTAGTTTACAGTTATGTGTTCCTCTTGGCGGTAAGTACGCAAAGAAAAGCTTTTTTTTTTTTGTAATGTATAGAATTATTGATACACATACATACATATATGCAAATATACATTTAGGCCACACACACACATACATGCATATGCATAAGCAACATTTGTTACATCGGCTCCAGTTACAGCTCCAGCATGTATGCATACATATGTATGTGTGTGTATGCCTGTATACATTTGTGATGCAATGAGTTTTTTGCTCCACACTTGTAAACATTCACTGTGAGCATATTTTGTATGCAGTTTATATTTAAAATTAATGTATTGCAATTTGATAAATAAACATGTACTTCATTTTAGCAGTATATGTATATTATTATGTATATACATAATATATATGCATATATATTTTATTTGCATATGTATGTACATACATTGAATTCAAATGTTTCTTTGACGCATTTCTCTATATTCTCATACATATACATGCATACTCGAATCTGTTCATATGTATGTATGTACATTGTAGTTGTTGTGTAGGAGTTGGCTTCTATTTACCAGCAGCAATGCTCGTGTACATACGCAAATGTGTATGTATGTGTGTATGTGCATGCGTGCGTGCGTTTCTATTTACTAGCAACAATTCTGTGCAATTGCAGATGACCTTGAGCTAATTTACATTTGCTGCAACATATATATATGTATGTAGTATATATACATACATATGTATATATACAATATGCCTCTGTATGTATCTACCTTTTGGGCTTACATATGTATAAAAGCTGTCAAAGTAAATGATATGAAAGTTTCATATAAGAAATAACAGTAGAACTTTATATGTATAAATTTTGTTAAAATTATGTGTATGTATTGAATTTTTGACACATTTATTATTAAAATTGGGCTTTTTGTTGACGAGGTCATTGCAGTAATCCCCTTTTGACATTTTCTCGATAATTTGAAATGCAAATGCGAAATGGAATTTATAAAGGATGCTCGCGCTTAATGACTGTCATGGGAGTCCTTGAAATTTTTAGAAAAGATTAGCAGCTTTTATTTTTAGACTAGCAATAAATAAGTATAATATAATATAAAGATTAAAATATGTAAAATAATAATAATAATTTATTATAATAAAACACTAATATAAATATCAGACATTAAAAATATGTTCATAAAAATATTTTCGGAAAATTTATGTAACAGACAAACGAAGGCGTGGCTTGTATTATATATTGAAATTTTTAGATATATGTATTAGTGTTGCAATATTAAAAATAATTATAAACTTAATTCCATATAATAACTCTCTTGTTTTTTTTTTTTCTTTTCATATGCAGCTAACCGGAGCAGCTCAAATATTTTTGGGAACATCTCTATTATGGGGACACTCGGTCTACTACGGCATTGTACAGAACAAATTGTGGGCACCAGCCGCAATCCTTCTATGCCTCGGACCAGTTACATTCATCCTCTGCTGGATGGGCTGCCAGGCAACCAATCAGAGGAAGCGTTGTCTGCTAGGCATGGTAAGTCGAACTGATCTCTCTATCTATCTAACTATATGCATAAATATCTGATGTATATATGTAAATGTGTTGCTAATGGATTCTTGTAGTTTGCAGCTCTTTTAGTGGCTTGTATATGTGTTCAATTCATAATCTGCGGTTGGTCCTTGGCAATGCGTGAGAATCTTCCGACTTCTGTAGAGATATTCATAGATGATTCGTTTGTAGAGTTTTTAGACAAGTTTTCACGGACTAAAGTTGACAACCTACACTTGTGGAATCGCATGCAATCTCAGGTGAGCTTAGAGTTAAATCTATATTTTTAAATTTTAAAAATAATAAAATAATGTATATAAATTATAGTACCTGGAAAGAGTCTTAGATTATTTCTCTCTCTATATATAGTTTCAATAGAAAAGTTTCCTTTTGCCTCACTCTCTTTCAGCTGCAATGCTGCGGTGTCGATGGCCCGCTCGACTATCGACGTCTGTCCCTCCCATGGTCCTGCTGCTCCCGTCCTGAACACGCTTACGAATCGGCATGTGATACCCACTACAAGCGCGGCTGCCTGGCCGTTGTCTCGGAGCAAATCAAGAGTCGTCTGCTGATAACCGCATTTGGCGCTGCAATTATAGCCATACTTCAGGTAAGAACTGGATCTGCTAATTCAGATTAAATATTAAAGAGTTTTGTATGACATCCACAGAGCTTGGGCATCTTTTGCGCCGTGCATCTGACTATATTGTTTGGCAAGAACGACAACACCCATCCCATGAATATGAATCGAAAAAAGAAGCAACAACAGTTCTTACCATTGACCATACAGGACAAGCGGCACGATCTACCATCCCCGATCAACTTGTCGCCCTCGGCTCCCGGGCAGCGGGTTTTAAAAACAGCTCTGCCTCCGGCCATGCACAAATGACAGACGATTAGCTTTTAATGACTACAAACAAAATTTATGAAAACTCAAAAAGTTATAAAAATGTTGTAACCTGAGATGGAATGAATATAACTGTGACCCTCAATGTTACGTTATGGTAATTTTAAAAATTTTACCGTTCGACAAAAAACCAAAAACTAAAACAAAAAACCAAAAAGAAACAACATTTAAAATTTGTTTATTTTTTCCAGTACTTTAATTAAATCGAAAAAACTGGACATCCTCTTTTTTGTTTTTTAACAAATCAATCAGATCGAATTGACTCAAATCCAATCAATGTCCTCGAGTTATAGTTGGAGGCACATAGAATGCATCGACTGCCTTGGGCTTCTTCTTCTTGCCGAACCAGCGCTTGGGATAGAATACTTTCTTTTTGAATATCTGTATGTCGATATCTTCCTTGTTCTCGAAGAACCACAGATTTTGTCGCCTCGCTTCCATGGCACTCAGTGTACTCTCAATGTTTTCAATGCGTTGGTTGGTCTCAAGGACTTTCATTTGTTCCTCAACGGCGCGCTGAAAGTTCGCTTGCCACGACTTAAAGCTTTTGTCGTATTCCGATATCAATTGTGGCTCAAAGCTGCTGGCGCTTAGCTTAACTCGTTTATCCAAAATCTCATCAAATGAATCCGCCTTCGCACACTTCGCTAGCGCCGCATCTAGGAGAGTTTTAAATTCCGGATTGCTTCTTCCCTCTAAGCTCTCAATTAGTTTCTGCCCCAGCTGCACAACATCTTTGTACAGACTTTGTTCATTTTGTGATATAAACTGCTCAGCCTCAGCATAGCTATCAGACATTATGAGACCAAGCAGAGTTATATTTTTGGCCAATTCCTGATCCAGGCTGGGACTCAAGCCTAATTTGATTAGCGATTCACCGAGAAGTTTCTCCTCTGATTTCTCAATCGTCTCAGGGATGTTGCGCAGAAATTTAACACGAACTTTTTGCTAGAAGCACCAGAAAATTGGTTAGTTATTTAGTTGGATGTAATACATGTTGAGGTCATACCACTTCTGGCTTCTCAGGCTTTTCAGGTGGTGGGCTTGGTTTATAAATTTTTAGATAAGCGTAAAATGATTTAAGTGCGAGGGCAGAAATCAATTCATTATTGCATAAGTCGCGTTCCACAAGTAGAGTTGAGACTTGAGCAGCTTCCTTAATGCTGCCATTGTGGAGCAGCAGATCCATTAAATGGCATCCCGTAAACTGATCAATGAATATGCCATATTGTAGAGGATTTCGCAGAACAGTAACTGCATCCTGGGGGCCGGACAAGTCCAGTAGTTGCTTCACCAATATGTTTGGCAGAAGCGGCACAGATGTAGAATGCTTTTGCTTTCTAAAAAAGAACACAATATTTATAGCTCATTTCTTTCTTCTTCTTTATGTTCATCAATGAAAATACCTCAGCTTTACAAGTTTATCCACTAAATCCATTTGTTTGTGATCTTGGTTAACAAAAACATCCAAATCCAAATATTTGACGCTTTGGCTTGAGGCACTTTGGTTGGCCAAGTTGTTAAATGCATTTGAGAAGTATGATAAACATCTTCTGTGCGCATTAACGCAATTTATAGTTGATTTAAGCATTGTTGTTTTATTAGATACCAAATTCCGAAACACGTGAGAGCACCGCTGAGGCCAGATCTATGGTCGAAGTTAGATACAAATATTAGCATTGAACTTAGTTTAATATAGCAAACACTGTTAATTGTATTTCATAAATGAGAACTAGTAAAAACTAATTTTTTTATTGGCGAATCACCTCCAATAGTCGAACCGGGCTCTTCACTTGATACATAATAGTAGATTCAATTAGAGATGTAACAATATTCGAACACCTCCGCAGTGTTGTGTGTCGATGATTGTTATCGGTGCTGCCCATTAATAAATCGATGATGCCATAGCCTTTATCGCATATTTCAATTGGCGCCAATTTAAATTTCAGTTTCTGTAGTGTTTTGTGATTTTGACTAATTCATACTTACGACTGAAAGCACTGCATACTACATAGTAAGGGTTGGATTGATAAATTAAACTTAACAACTATTTGAAAGAACGTGTCAGTAAATGACTAAGTCATTTTGGGGGTGCGTTGCTTATAATGCCTTGGTAGATTTAGTTGCTGTTGATAAGGTCTTGAAAAAGGGTAAATATTTGAATATTTTAAATGAACAAATTTTGACCTTCCGGTGGTTAGTTGATCGTGCTGCCTTCTGTTCTCCAACAGGATCGAACTGTATGTTTACTATAGAAACAGCTTGATGCAGTCTGTACCCAAATTATTATAAATAGCTATACCCGATAAGGTGAAGTTAAACTTGTTAGTATTCAAATAATTGATATTTCTACTTGAGCAAGATTTAGTCAGGAGTTAAATAAAAGCCTTCTAGCTTTAATGTCTTGATACATATCCACGTCCTGTTTTGGCGCATTAAAGTCAATATAAAATTTAGTTAATAATATATACCCTACACATTCACTTTTTATAGGAATATATAGGCATACAGTAAATGAATATTTGTAAACAATACACTAAAACACATCAAAGAAAATGTATGTCAAAGGCAGATTCAGAGATTCAGAGATTCAGAGATTCAGTTTTGGCAGACGCTTTTTGCATTCTCTTACTTTCATATGTGTATGTATGTATGTCTGCATTTATATATGTTTGTATATAATCTAATATAAGTATATGTTTGAATGCAATTTAGATTGTATTTTGTTTGTACAAGCTGGTATACATACCTACATAGTTCTAGTTGCATGTTAATACAAAGGAGATACCAAACAGCAAAACCGACTGTTAAACAGTAGTTAACGTAGGCCAAAAAGCAACGGAGCAGAAAGGCTTTCCACCCCTCACTCACTAACTCACTCGCTCACACATATGGCAGCTGCAGAAACTCATACAAACACATACACATACTTACATACAGAGCTAGCAGCAAGCATACAAGTGGCACGGGCTGCAGCACATTTGGATACACACACATGCTTATAATGAGCAGACGTTCTCCCACATACACATGCTCGCGCGCGCATACACACACGTGGACAAATGCACAAGTGTGCTATAATATAACACACGATCAAAAAGAGGCAAAAGCCGGAACAGATAGAAACCATTCGTTGTTGGTTCGTTAGGTGGGTTGTTTTTCTTTTTGACTCTCCGCTGCGAGCTGTTGACGGTTTTGCGCCACACACAGCCAAACACAGACGTATATGTATATACATATGTGTGTTTGTATTTGTATGTTGCCTATGCGTATGCCACGCTCGAGGAGCGTTCAGTTGTGATATATCAGACAATTGTATTTGACCATGCCCAGCGTACGGTTCAGCTGCAGTATTTAAAATAGTGAAATAAATAAATAAATATATATATATACGATATATATATAAATAAATATAAAATATATACAATACTCTAGCTGCTGTGTTACAACCTTAGGAAAATGCAATTTTTGCTAGCTTTTGTTATTGTTACGTCGACGATTTTGAAAGGTAACGGTTCATGTCAGGTGTGCTCCTCGCTCTGTTCGCCGTTCGCTGTTCGTTTCGCCTCAACGTGAAGCACTTGAAACTATTTATAAATTAAGAAATGAAATCATCTCTTCGTATACAACAAAATATTATTGCATATATATTTGCCTATATAATTCGCATATATATCTTTAATACGCGCTAATGTATATGTGTGTATGCACGTATACACAAAAATATATAGAAGATCGCTATAGTAACAGGATCTTGGAGCAGTTTTATTGTTGCTTTATGACGTGAGTGCACCGAGCCGCGCAGCTTTGCAAACAAAACATGAAAATTACGAGAAATACTCTTGGAGAATTTGTAACCGCTTTTTTTGTGCTGTGATCTACATTCGAAAGTAATGAAAGAATAGACGAAAAAGTTCAAAAATATAATTATTACAAATTCTAAATAATAAAAATTATTGAATATTAAACTAAAAATAAGCAATAATAGCCAAAAATAAACAATAATCATAGTAAAAATCATATGAGTATATTTAAAGTAAAAATCACAGATTTTATTCTAGTCGGATCTACTCGACTAGAAAATACCCTGTACACTGTGAGCCCTCTCACTTTTATATCTTACGAGATCGGACGATCAGACTGACATGGCTATATCGATTCCCCTCGTCTCTCGAATTATGAGCTCTATGCCTTCTTCTGTTACATATAAATTAAATATAATCATCCTACCCTAAAATTCAATATAAAATGCGTTGATAAATTTATAAATAATGATAAAAAATAAAATAAAAATATATAAAACTATAATAATAATATTATAACAAAAGTATAATAATACGAAAAAACTTCTAACGCAGCTGCAAATCAAATTTGTTTAAAGATTTCTTTTCAAATTGCAAACTTAATTTGGAATACATCAGTACGGCGTATAGTATATAGACTGTTTACCACCCATGGATTAATTTTCTATGTACATTTGCTTACATTTTTCGACTGAATAAAAACACATGTTTCAAAGATGTTGATTTAATTATGAATAGGTCAGGCGGAAACCTTGGGCGAAAGTTGCTAATTTAAACACTTTTGGTGCGCTCGAGCGACTTTTAGACTTAGATATATACATAGAGCTAGATGCTTGACTATGGAAATAAAAGTGATTTGGAAAGTGGTTGTAAAGCAATTCACTGGTAAAACTCACATATAAAGAAACTAAAGAAGAAATAAGGTATGTTTGGGTATAGAAAATGGCAAAACAGAATTAGAGAAAAAATAAATTGGAAGAATGAAAACTCATAGAAGTTGGGTAAAAGCTTTTGTATACTTTTTTTCTAGGATAAGTAATTTTCCCTTATTCTAAAAAATGTTGTTATATGAGAAAAATGCCTTCGAATGCTGAGAAAGACTTCACCCTTGAAAAGAGGAGGATTATATTGAAACATAAAATTATATAAAAATTAAATAAGGAATTATTTATTAAATATACAATTCGTTTGTCTAAAGATTTTTATGACTTGTCATAGTCCACATGGGCAAAATGTTGCTCATAAATATTCATATGAAAATGTTTTTGAATACTTTTTGTTTGTAGTAAGAACAAGGCGTGACCTTAAAATGGCTTTTTAGCATTTTGACGTGAAAATAAACAAATGTATATAGATTATGTTA